TTGCTACTGCTTTGAAGTATATTTTGAAGTCAGGTAGTGTCCTTTTCCCAGATTTGTCCTTTTTGTTGAGGATTGCTTTGGTTATTCAGGGCCTTTTGTGGTTCCACATACATTTTCAGATTGCTTTTTTGATATCTATGAAGAATGTCATCGGTATTTTGATAGGGATTGCAATGAATCTGTAGATCACTTTGGGTAGTATAGGCATTTTTAACAATATTAATTCTTCTATGAATAACTGAATATGGATATCTTTTCTTTCTTTCTTTTTTTTTTTTTAAACATTTCCTCTTCAATTTCTTTCATCAATGTTTTACAGTTTTCATGGCAGAGATCTTTCATCTCTTTGGTTATATTTATTCCTAGGCATTTTTTTTAAAGCTATTGTAAATGAAATTCCTTTCTTATTTTTTTTCTAGCGTCTTCAACGTTGGCATACAGAAATGCTCAACTGCTAACCCAGCAGCAGTTCATGCTATAATACTTCCCCTCTCCTACTTCCTAACTCTTTTTATAGATTTGGCACATAATAAGCACTAAACAAATAATAGTTTCTCTTCTAGTCTTTAAAAGAAACTTTTAGAATGAAAATTGGATCAAGAATTTTCTATTGTTTCATCAACATTTCTTTAATTCTTGTATGTGGGAAAAATAAAAAGTTCATTTTAAAAATGAAGAATGAACGATTGCAGTGGAATAACCATGGTTAAAGCAATTTTGATATTATGTAAGAAAGCTTTAGAGACCCATTTTCTCTGCATTCTGAAACTAGAGTTGATACTTTATGTAAAATATTTAAGTACTCAGAAGGATCAATAAAGCGCTGGCTTTCTGAATAATGTTGGAGTTACTTCCATGAAGGTGCATTTTAGCTAACAAATGCACATCATGCCCTTTCTGCTCCGCTAGCTTCAGCCAAGTAAAACTTCCCCAAATCTCTTTCTTGGGTCCAGTCCAACAGAATCTTTAACTGGTAATGTATTAATATGTTAAGCAAAGGGCACTTTCTATCTCTGTTCCCCAACTTCTTCCAAGAGGGCTTAGGACAGACCTTTTAAATTTCTATAAGCTATATAAACAAAGGAAGAACTTACCCTGAGAAGTTTTTCAATCTTGTTCAGTAGTGTAAGTATAAGATGAGACTGTAAATTTCCAAGTTCTGTAGTCCACGCAGCGTAAGCTGGTAAAAATACTTGATGTGTAGCACTAACTACTCTTTCTGAGGGATCACCCAAGGCTGATAGCAACAATTCAAAACCCTGACAATAGGAAACAGACAAATGTAGAGTTTTAAAAGGATAACCGTAAATAAGATAAAATAAAAATTTCAATAAATTAAAAAATGTTTTTAAGCAAGAAAGAAGGCCATCCATAATCCTAGCCTTGCCATGTATCCCAAAGAGAAGGTGCAGTAAATAGCTCTTGCCAATTTCATGCCAGAAAGCTGTGGCAGATACTATACATGAACTGTAGTATTCTTTTCTCTGAGCAGCAACATTGAAACCAGGCAACCATTCCCAAATGACTAAAGTTGACACATCTGCCATCCTTACGATACATTATAAAGTATCTAATCCAGAGATTTGGAATATTATATTACTTGGAATTTTATAATGGAGTAAAAGGAGTTCATTCTGAAAAACATACCTGTTGATATTTGTCTGGGTCATCAATGTATCCCATAATGATACCAAGGCTTTTGATCACAGCTTCTCTTACCAAATCTGCCTTATCTTCCATTAACATTTGTTGCAACATTGAAAGAACCAAAGAGCTACGGATTTCTTTCTGAAAATAAACATGTTTTTGCTATTTATTTACACTTAAGCGCAGAAGTATAGAAAATAATATGACAAACATCAGTGTGGTCAAAATTCAGATTAAACAGGTATTAACATTGTTATTAAAAAATGCTGAGGAACTGCTGATGGACAGAGATTTTGCTTCAGACCTTCATTTTTTGAAGACATAAAACATTACAGATATAGCCAAAATATCACTCACTGCCAAATCCCTTCCTCTCTAGAGGCAATAACATCTACTCTGAATTTGGTATTTATTAATCATCTCTCAGCATGTTTTTTGTATCTTTACTAAATATGTAAAAATCTCTCAAATCCTTGCAGTTCACACTCGGAGGCACTTTCGACAAATCAACAAAGTCTACTACAAACTCTACTACAAATGGACAATGACTCTCCTGTCACTATTTGTTCCATTCAGAGAAGAGCACTGAGAGTTACAATGGGAGGAATTACAAAAATCACTCTGACAATTAGAACATTTGTCTGGGACATGGTAAGAAAACATAATAAAATCCTGGCATTCCTATTTCTTTGAAGAAGTGGGAAAAAAATTCAACAGGATAATAAAATATGAGAGTGAACCTTAGAAGTACTTAAAAAACTGCATTGCTCTTTTATTATGCTATTATTTAATATAATATACACCACTGCCTGCCTTGATTTCACATAGAATATTTTCTAGTTATGATAAAGAATGTTTTAGCTTAATGGCTGAGGTTAGGATAAAGAGCTACCAATATACAAATTCATTCTCCTCCTATCCCTATTTGTACTATTATTGCGATTTAATCAATCTATAACATTCTTAAAACATAAACTTGTTTAAATCCTTTTCACATATAATAACTAGGATACAATAAAATAAAGGCAGAGGACATGGCTATTTTTATAAATTTACAGCATGAGTTGGTATGCAGAGCGAGACTTGAGAGACTTTCTAAAAAAGTCTGGTTTTCACTTTTTAGAAGCAAAAATACAGGCAATTTTAGCATATCTTAAACACGTTTAGGTTGGTGAATATATAACATCTTTTGTTATGTATTTATTTACTCATTTATTTTTTAGGCTAAAAATTGCACTAAAACACCTTAAACTATCTTAAAAGGGCTTGTTGGTTGGTATCAGCACAAGGCAATATGACAGAGGAAAATAAGCTTCAAGTGGGCATTTATACTGATTTGGGCTGGGGTCCCTGTGGCGTACTAAAACTAATTGCCACAGTTGTCAACTGTCAGGGACCCCACTAGAGCATTGATCGGGAGGATATACTCCAAGTCATGAACACCCTGAGGAACTGCTGATGTACAGAGATTTTGCTGCTACCAGTGACAGTGGGGTACACAGAAGGCAAGTATAGATACACTGAGGAAACATTATATCTGTTATTAATACTGCTTAGTATTCTAGGAGTAGAGTAGAACAGCCTGTTTATCCTTTGAGAGCAAGGGATGCTCATCTGTCTTGGAACAATAAATAATAAGATGCTCAAACCCATTTGCATCAATCTATCTATATGATTTATCACAACAATAAGGCATTTTCTTCCATTAGAAAAACATTAAAAAAAATTTCACCATGCCTAGTTCCTGGTTGAAGGTATGGGAAAATAAAAACTCAATGGGACTGTTAGTAGGAGTATAAATCCATGCTATTCCAGTTTTATCACTGGCAATGAATGCTGTCTACTTGTTCTCCTTGAAGTGACATTGTCACTCCATCCAATTTCATGAAAATGTCTGCGATATACCCAAATCTGAATAACCAGTTTAACTCTAAGTGGTTCTGTGAAGTAAAATTGGTGTCCCATTAAGAAAAGCAGCTAGTTGAGCTCATAACTCAAATAACTGCATAAGTGCTTTTCTTGCAAACAGCTACAATTTTTCAGTATATAGCAAAGGGTTTTTACGTGAGTACTTTCTATTTTGTCTCACAGAATATTAAAAAGATGCATGCTTCATGGGTCAAAATTTAGTAAAATTAATAATTTTACTGATTCAGCAAGCTCCTTTTTAGGTGAAATTGGCTTTTTCTGCAAAAGCATGGCAGTAAAGAATCCAATCATTATTATAATAGTACATTTGGGTGCCACTGCCCTGACGGGTGCTAATGCAGCAGCATTTTTGCCCATCCATGCTTTTGCACTAACAATACAAATTTCAACACAGGGAAAAAGACAAAAAGTGTCTTATTATTATGAAAACAGTTTTCTCCTCATGGACCATTTTGGAAGGATCTCAAGAAACCCCCAGGGTCCTCAGACCACATTATAAGAACTGCTGATATAGTCTGATATATTCATACTCATCCAAAATTAGTGGTAATGTACCTATGGGTCTGCAATGCCATATTGTATTAATGTGAGTCTTTTCTTTTTTAGATCGTCTTTTTTCTTTATTAAGATGGCATGCCTAGGAAATATTTGGATTAAAATCTATAAGATACTCAAAAAAAGGTTTTTCTATATTAATAAAGAAGAACAACTTTAAGAAAAAAAAAAGACAATTCTTACAGGAAGGTAAGGTGCCAGTGCTCCACAGGATTCTGCCACAAGCAGTCGTCTTTCTGGGTATTTATGATTAATCTAGAGCAAAAAAAATATAAATAAATCAAGTATAAACAACACACCCTCCCTTCTTCCAAAAGAGAATTACATTTCACCACAAATCCTGTTAAGAATGCAATAAAGCTTCTTCCTTTTCCACTTCTGGGAATCCCTGTGTGACTATACCAGGATCAGGAATGAGGGAGTGAGGGAGAACCTAAACATGAGGTTACAAGGGTCATCTGTTAAAGAAAAAAGGGAAAACCAAAGGTGAAAATTTGGCAAGCTATCTAGAGATTATGGGCTTGCCTAATACTAGGCTTTCCTTAGGATATCAGGAGAAATCAGGACCTTTCCCTAGCAATAGTAGCGTATTTTTAAATTTGGAAAACTCAGCTTCTGAATCTTATAGATACGAACTATAATATGTGCCAGTCTTCTTTCTTCAACCTAAGGGATGAGGAAAAGTAAGTTAATCAATGATTTGACCAGAGCCCTTACTAGAAATATGATTTTATTTTTGAAGTGGACTTCAATCCATTCCTCTGTTTGCATATGCAAGATGATGGGGTTTTGCTATTGTGATGACTACACTGAACCATAACCAAAAATAACAAAAAAATGACACATACTGGGTTTTGTTCCCATATGTCTTCTTCATAGAATATAAATCTTTCTTTGACTGGAAAAGAAGTATATCTGTTCTCATATTCCCATATGAAAAGGTGACATAATTCATTAATGTATTGGATGCCTAAAATTAAGAAAAAAAATTATATAGTAATCTACTGGGCAACAAACTGGAGGTAGGCGGCTAGAAAGATCCCCGATAGCCAAGTTTACTCAGATTACAGAAGAGGTGGTGGTAGAGATGTTTATAACCGAGATCTTTGAATTAAATTTAATCCAGATGTAGTTACCTCAAAAGTTGAATGGTTTGAATGTCAAAGTATGGCTATACATAACTTTCATTTGCTTTTCTTTAGCTCAGTAAGTCTCAAAATTGAATGTAAATAGAAAAATCAATTGTATGTCTACGTATTAGCAATGAACAAACTAAAAATAAAATTAAGAAAAAAGTCTATTTACAATAGCATCCAAAAGAATGAAATACTTAGGAATGAATAAAACAAAAGGGCAAAACTTATACTACTCTGAAAACTACAAATCACTGTTGAAACTTTAAAAGACCCAATCCATAGAAAGATATCCTAAATGCATAGATTGAAAGACTTAATATATAAAGTCAGGATGGCAACACTCTAGATAAATCTATAGATTCAATGCATTGTTTATGAAAATCCCAGCTGGCTTCTTTGGAGAAATTGACAAAATGATCCTAAAATTCATAAGAAAATTCAAGGGACCCAGAATAGCCCATATAGTCTGGAAAGAGGAGAACCAAATTCAAGCAGTTAGGGTTTGTCTTTGGGGTGACAAAGCTGTATAAAAATTGATTGCAGTGAAGCTTGCACAACACTGAAACCACTAAATTGTAGACTTGAAAAACAGAAAAGAAAATGGAAAAATGATAAAAAAATTAAACGTGCACAATTAACTGTATAGAATTGTAAATTGAAAGTTGTTTGGCTATGTTGTAGCCAAGTTATTTTGACTTCAAGTGATTAGAACCTCACCCTAAATTTTAGTATGCACTGTAATTTATAGATGTATGAGATTATGAGAGGTGGTTATGACTACATATAATGTTCACTTTGCCTATTGAATCTAGTGGTTCTACTTTATTTTGGTGGGAAAAAAAATGAATGCCCAAAGAAGTTGGGAATAGGACTATAAATGACTACATACTTCAGTGACATTCCAGAGACTAATATTTTTCTTTTTTTTTTTTCTTTTTCTTTGGGACGGAGTTTCGCTCTTGTTACCCAGGCTGGAGTGCAATGGCGCGATCTCGGCTCACCGCAACCTCCGCCTCCTGGGTTCAGGCAATTCTCCTGCCTCAGCCTCCTGAGTAGCTGGGATTACAGGCACGCGCCACCATGCCCAGCTAATGTTTTGTATTTTTAGTAGAGACGGGTTTCACCGTGTTGATCAGGATGGTCTCGATCTCTTGACCTCGTGATCCACCCGCCTTGGCCTCCCAAAGTGCTGGGATTACAGGCTTGAGCCACCGTGCCCGGCCAGAGACTAATATTTTTCTTAAGAATAAGTAACTGTGCTATTGTAAATAAAGCCATGTAATTTGTCTCCATAAGCAGGAATCCCATCTTTTTAAGGTAGAAAAATGAGGTTCTTAATGATCTAAACATTAAGTCTAGAAAGTCAGTGATTCTGAGTTCTACAGAGGACTAGAATATTAAAATTCAATATTAAAGCAAAAGCTTTGTTAGTAAGATAATGAGTTCAAGAACACATACAAAAACCTCTCACATTAAAGATTTACACTTTATACATCTGTAATATATACAAGTATACAAGATATATTTCTATACACACACAGACACACACACACACACACACACACACACACACACACACACACACACACCCCTTCTTGCTGTTTCTTGAATGCATCGAGTACACTCCCACCTCAGGGCCTTTGTTCTGGCTGCATCTTACTTCATCCAGATCCTTACCTAAACATCACTTCCTCAGAGATTCTTTCTCTGACCCCCTTTTCTAGGAGAGCATTCCCCATTAATCTCGCCCTTATCCAGGTTTATTTTTCTTCGTAATATATATTACTATGAAACAGCAGACCATCTCTTTGTTTACTTTTATTTTCCCATTAGGATCTCTTTGTCTTTTGTTCACCACTGTATCCCTAGTGACTACATCAGTACCCGGCACTGAAATGAGTGTTTCATTAAGTATTTGTTGACTGAATGAATAAAGCAAAGCACCCCAGAACATTCTTAAGTACTAATAAATTGCTGTGCTGAGCTACAGAAGCATCAGCATGATTTATATCCCACATATTTCTTAATCACATTTAAAAAGAAAAATATGAATCTTTTAAAGAAATCAGGCTATCATAGCTAGGTGAAAACTCAATACAATTATTTACCTGTTCCCAACACTGTGGTAAAAGTTCAGCTTCTACACGTGTTGGTCCAACATGACGCGCAAATGCCACACAACCTGTCAGTATCATTTGCCTGAAAAATAATGCCCAAAAAAAAAAAAAAAAAAAAAAGGCTTGTGTTTGCATTAGAAAGCACAACTAGGATGAAAGGTTAAAGTCTCATCTCTAAAATTTCACATAGAGTACAAGATTTTTGTATAAATTAGACCTTTCTTTCCTTCTTTCTTTTTTTTTTTTTTTTTAGATAGAGTCTAGCTGTCAGCCAGGCTGGAGTACAGTGGCGTGATCTTGGCTCACTGCAACCTCCACCTCCCAGGCTCAAGCACTTTTCCCACCTCAGCCTCCTAAGTAGCTGGGACTATAAGTGTGCACCACCACACCCGGCTACTTTCTGTATTTTTTGTAGAGATGGGGTTTCACCATCTTGCACAGTCTAGTCCTGAAAAATCAGACCTTTCGGCTGGGCATGGTGGCTCACGCCTGTAATCCCAGCACTTTGGGATGCCAAGGCGGGTGGATCATGAGGTCAGCAGATCGAGACCATCCTGGCCAACATGGTGAAATCTCATCTTTACTAAAATCCAAAAATAAAAATAAAAAAGCTGGGTATGGTGGCACGCACCTATAGTTCCAGCTACTTGGGAGGCTGAGGCAGAGGAATTGCTTAAATCCGGGAGGCAGAGGTTGCAGTGAGCTAAGATTGTGTCACTGCACTCCAGCTTGGCAACAGTGTGTGTCCAAAAAAAAAAAAAAAAAAAAAAAAAAATTATACCTTGCTAACAGTGGCCTAAGCTGCCACCAAATGCCTAAGTTCCTTATGATTAGCCACTCAGGCAGTGACAACATCATTTGTGACAGATATTGTGAAGGAATTTCTGTATAGGTATGAAGCTGAATCTTATAACCTTCTAAATTACCTTCCTATGCATACATTCTGAGATTATATATGCCCAATGCCTCATTTGGTTTCTAGCCACTAAAACAGTTATTCTCCCAGTGTTTCTATAATTAAAAACTATGGTATCATATTAGTAAAGTGGTATTTTAAACATCAGATTCTTTGGTATTATACCTAAGATAACTGCGGGAGGTAGTTTCTGATATGGCTTTCGATCATCACATCTCTTTGAGTGTGGACTGGACGTAGTGACTTGTCTCTAATGAACAGAGTATGAGCAAAGTGATAAGACGTCAATTCTGAGATCAGGTTCCAGAAGTCTGTGATGTCAATCTTGCTGGACTCTACTGCTTTCTCAGCAGGCATGCTTAGCTAAACCAAGCTGCCATGTTGGAGACATCCATGTGGGAAGAAATTAAAGGTGGTTTCTGGCCATAAGCCTGTGAGGAGATGAAGCTCTCAGTCTAACAATTCTTGAAGAATTGATTCTTGACAATGACCAACTGTGTGATTAAGATGAAAAGCAAATCTTTCTCCAGTTGAACCCTGAGATGACTAACGCCCCAGCTGACCTTTGACTACAGAGGACTCAGACTCCTGACCCACAGAAACTCTAAGATAAAAGATGTTTTATACCACTTTCTCTTGGGGTACTTTGTTATGAAACAACAGTTAACCAATAACTAAAACATTATCTTCATTTGAATTGATATATTTATACCTATTGATTTGATGTATTTGTAAATGAATGTAACTAAATAAATGAATTAATACCTTTGTAACTAAAAACTACAAAATTTGAAGTAAGATTTTGTACTCTTCAGAATGAAGTTCCATCTAAAATGACTTTAAAATACAATATTTGAAGCTCTTCCACTTTTGATTGTCTAACACTTTAAAAAAGTAAGACCTGATGGAAAAAAGAATATTTTTAATATATGTTTTAAAGTAGCCAACTTTAAGGAAAACTAAAATAGAACACTTATGTAATTCACAATCATTATAAAATCAGCACTTTAAGTCTAGGCATTGCTCATTGCTATTTCTCAATATATGTCAATTTAAATTAACTGTAAAATGACTTTAAATTTCTATTTGGTTTAGTCAGATTAGTTACTAACTGTTTGCTTAGGTTATTTAACGAGAATAACAAAGCTTTTTTGGAAACACTGGGGGAAACAGTGAGCCAGTGTATCTTCATTGTACATTGCAGCAGCTTCTAATTCACCACAATCCTAGTAGTTTTTATCTGATTCTCCTTTATATCATTATCCTCTGTTTCTATTTCTCAACTTTTATTTTGTGTTCCTATTTCCTTCTTTGATCATATCCCAATTAAGAAGGCAAATAAATTGAATGAGAAGAAACTGCAAAAAGATATTAGCAAGCACTTTAGCTGCTTGCCCCTAATGAACGTTTCCTAATAGCTCATCATTGTTTTTGCCCTCGTTAGTGTATTAAAATGAGAAGGCATACATGTTTGATAACGGTAATAGCTAAATTTTCTTAAAATTTAAGCATTTTGAACACTTATAAGAGGTACACACTTGTATAGAAAGAACTTCAGATTCAAATTTTCTTAAAATTTAAGCATTTTGAACTCTTATAAGAGGTACACACTTGCATAGAAAGAACTTCAGATGAAATGACTGTAAATTGTAAGTCACCATCTCTATACTAATGACTACAAACTTCAATAGAAAAAAATGTTAGTCCCCTTGAAATAAACATCTTAGAAGAGTTAATATAGAAAATTTTAGAAAATATGACAGCTTTGAAATACAGTCCCAAACAGATACGATTAGATGGTCCACAGATTATTAATAGCATTGGAAATAGGCTACTATGATAGTAAAAATAAATGTTGTTCCTACTTATAGAAAATCACAGCACAGGGATTGTTTTATTAGTAAATGACTCAGGCAGACATATGGTACCAATTACGGTTGTTAGAAAAGAACTGGCAAAAGCATCATTACTGAGCATAAAATTAAGTTTTTCTTGGGGTAAGATCAAAGAAGCCTGAGATTCATTAAGAAAAATAACTGATTATGTCAAATATATTTTGCTAACCTAAAATGTTGCTTGTTTCATGTATTCTTTATACTATATAGCATATAGTTAATAATAAATTTATTAGTTTAATAAATTTATATTTCTGTAAGGTGAAAGTAGATTTAAGTGTGGACACCAGTGTTGATCCCTGATGCACCTTGACCTGAAGTAAGGCTAGTAAGTACTTTTGGCCACCAGGTGGCAGCTGTTAGCTTTACATGCAAGGTTTATGAAAATAGCCTCTAAGACCAGGTTTTTGCCTTGAAAATCTAAAAATGAAAATGTAGTAACTATATTTAATTATTAACTAAATTACCAAGATAAGAAATGCTATTTTTAGAGGAGAAAATAAAATACTAATTTTCCTATAGTACCACCAAGTTGTCCTTGGGAATTTTTTAGTTTGCAATGAATAGTACTCATACAGTGATTTAACTTCCCTTATTCCTAATTGACTAGCACTGGGCTGCTGGTATAAATTAAGCTTAGCTGGACACTTAAAAGAGCAAGTTTCTCCACTTGCTTAGGTATATATTGATAAGAGCAGAAAAGAAGTTTCTATAATAGAATTTTAAAGTCTACAGAAATGCTTGTATTATCCTAGCTAAGGGGTTCTTTGTATTTTAAAATATAAGCCTGATATCTTTCATAGTTCATTCTTATGATTTTCCAACATTCTCAGAAGATAGAAAATTATATCAGTCAGACAAACAAGTACTGAAATTACATTAAGCTACAAAATCATTAGGTACAATTCCATTATTTTGCAAACTATTAGCAAAAATCATTTTTTCACTGAGATAAAAATTATAGAAAAACATTCAACTGCTTTATTTTATCCGACTGGTGCTTAGTCCATCTATTCACCTCCAGGATGCTTTGTTCTAGTCCATACTTGCACAGCTTCACTTAATAGTTACATGTTTTATGATTTGAGGTACACAGCTATCACTGCTGCTTGATCAAAATCCATTCCCCTTTCTTCTCATGTGTCACCCTGATCTGTGGCCCTCCCCATCACTCTGCTTGGGATGTTCTACTCAGGCATCTTTATTTGTGGGTATTAGACTCAGGACTAGCCAAAATAACACACCCTATCCCTTTGGCCACACAGCAATGGTTTAACCCAGTGATGCACCAATTCATATGTTAAGTATTCTATTTTTTATAAAGCATTATCATTAAGAGGCCATAATGTATCTAGTTCATCCGTGGGAAAAAGGGGAATGTTTAGGAGAAATCAAGCATGACAAATAAAGGAAAGCAATATGTGAATTAGAAGTCCAAAGGTAACTAAAACAAAAGTGTACTAATTCAACATGAGTAACTGGAATAACAAGAATGAAAATACTGCAGAGCACTGTAAGTGGAGCCAGTGTTCCGCCTGCTTATCAAAAAAATTTGGGTAACATTTCCTCTATTAATTTATACATAACTTCAAACTTCAAAGACTTTCATAATTAAAGAGCGACTGGGATTTAACTGTTGAGTTGACTGGAGCCAAGTTTCTGAGGATTATTAACAAACTTGCTCATTTTAAAACAAAATGACTGGAATAAAATGTGTTGCTAAGTTCATAAAAATGCGTTCATAAGGAAAAAGTTTAAAGGGTTGCAGCAAAGTTTGCAGAGGAAACTTTATACATGTCCTTTAATATGCATGTATATACAGGAGCTTTATACATGCATTTTTGTGAACTTATATTGAATGAAGCAGTAATTAATGACAAAATGCTTTTAAGGTTATCAATTTGTTGATTTAACACTATTCATACCATCCATAAAGGTACTGCCAGTTTTCCAAAAGATTTTACAAAGAAGTCGAGGCCTGATATCATAGGAACATATAGATTTACATTTTGTCCAACAGGATGTATTATGAGCTATGGTTGAAGAGTTTCTGGAAATTATTGAAGCCATGAAGGTTTGGGCAAACAATCCTTCAGTCCAGCAAATGGCCAGTGAATACTGTGCTTTACTGATATTTGAAATTTATCAGCCAGGCACAGTGGCTCATGCTTGTA